CCTAAAGCAGACGGAACAGAGAGTAGAAGGAGAGGTGTTAAGTTAGTCCAGAGAATGATAAAACATGGTCTTCATAAGCAACAGAGCACAAATTCAACGCTTAGGCAGGCTGATGTAGTTAGGCAAAAACATGTATTGACACGTACAATGTAGGTGAGATTGTAATTAGAAGAAGAATATTTTTCTTAGTATTGTGCATAGGCTCAGGAAAAAACGCCGACACAAGATAACATGATGTGGTGGTGCAAATCTGAAAAAGTTTTGGAATGGTCGGAAACTAGATTCTCACGGAAAACACAAAACAGAAAAAACACACAACTATAAATACATTGGAACAACGAAACAGAATCAAATACCTAGGGTGCATTACGCTTCGGACTGCAAGTTGAGTGAACGACTTCAAGGAAGTATATTTCTGAATTCAAATTAATCGGAAAAATGAACAAGGATTATCCATCAAATCCTGGTCATTGAAGAAGCCCTCCATCAATAACAACTAATTGATGGATGAGGTCTCTGGCACTTAAAGTATGTTGAACTTAGAGTTTGGAAGAGTTGAGGAGTCATTAGAATAATAGATAACAGACCTCCCCAGTCTCTCTGGAGAAGAGTCGTATCCGAGCATAAACAGCACGGAAGTGAACAGCTCGATAAGAGACACACTGTGTTGGTGAGTGATAATGAAAGCAGTGGCATGAGAGCCATGTGCTAAGATTGAAGATGGATATATGAGCAGAGCAGGCGTCAGATGATTGACAAAGTGGAAGATGACAACACCAAACGGAAAAAGTACTTCAGAATATGTGGAATATTTTTATACAGCTGAAAGTGGCCAATTTTTTAAAAAGTAAGTGAAGAAGTTGTTGGTAGCTGGTTTGTGCTTACGATTTAGAACGCATAAAGGGGACATGGCACAGTAACGAAAGCAGGTAGTCAGTGAGCAAACGATTGAAGCCCATAAGAAGGCCATTCCATGGTCAAAGGTCACACGACGTTTATGATATGGCTTTATAATGTAAACGATGGGGTATTGAATAGTTAGGTGTAATATCAAATAAATAGCCAAGACGTGGTTTCTGTTTGAGGGGCAAATCGTGTAGAGGATATTGAGTTGCAGATAGTCAGTACGGTTCAATAGAGGAGCGATCCGTGATAGTCGTAACGATGGTTAGTGTTCTTTTTGAAGGTGACGTATTGATAATGCACTAAGATGAGTTTTTAGGCTTCGTAGATCTGCAGGATGTTTCGAAGGAGTGTCAACCCAGTGCAGGAGCAAATGAAAGTTCCAATTTCAAGAATATAATTCAGAACAAGCCACTATAACGACCGAGACAGATAAGCCGAAGTACAGACATAATGAAAGTTACATAGTTAAGGCTTCTTCCCATCAAGACCTCTGCTGTCTCCAACAACGATAGATTGTAGGACTAGATGCTCTGGTTGACACAACACAAGTTTGTGGAACTGGCTGCTCAACCGCAAACCCACTTTGTTGAGATCGCCAAGATGTCTGCGCGTGGCGAAGCTAGTTTCTGTAGAATTTAAGATGACTTTATCCCTAAACACAGCACAGTTTGCAGAAGGCAACTCCACCATCAGACAGCCCCCTGGTAGCTAGCAGAATAAGATCCTACAGATCATAACAATCAAGCTCAAGCATCGGTGAAACTTACACAAACAGATCCTGAGCACAACGAGCCTCTTACTCCACAGGTCTATGAACTCAACACAGCAAGTAAGTTTCAACCGCCTAAAAGGAGAAAATAAATAAAGATGTATTACCACGCCTATGTGACGTTTGTTGCATTTTAATCTCTCATTTTCTAACCGGTAGAGTTATGACGTGTTTGACAGAAACCGAACGCGCGGGAAAATAAAGTGAGTAAAGCACGAACGGAAAAGGATGAAATGCTGAGAAAATAAGATGCAGACACAAGAGAGGTGAGAATGAGGATTGCATGGGCAACGAATCTCAGTCAGCCAGTAACTCAGACACAACTGATCCATCGACGACTTTTCGTTTAGATCCTTTGCATGGTCCCAACAGGTGCAATGTGAACGCAGACTCCCCAAGAGTTCGACAGTGAGAAAGGTCAGTCCGCTCGGCTGGCCAAAGCACAAACTGGCTGAGAGAGCTTAGCCTTCTCAAAAACGGCCAGCTCTGCCTCTGTTATGACGACTCAGCACCGATCCACGTCCCTGCCAGGAAACACTTTGTTGTTATCGAAAACTTTGTTCACTTTGGGGGTTTTATGAGGTGAATTGGCAAAGCATACATAAGCTTGGGAATTCCCAAACATTTATCTTAATTCCAAGACCTGTGGAAATCTGTCACACAGAGAGTGGCACCGACGCGCATAGTGAGAGTACAAAAACAAAGCACTTAGTGTTTTCCAAACGCCGGGGGAGGAAAACATGTTTTCCACAAAGGCTGCACAATGCATAATACATATAAACCACACACTGGACTACTGTTCTGATAGAAGAAGCAGACACTCTCCCACAAACATCCCACTACTCTAATGAACGAAACACCTCTCGCTGTGAGACACAGAGTCTCTTCTGTATGTGGCATTTGAAGAGGCAGGAGAGAAAAGCCCAGCTGGACCACGCTTGGTTAACGCTGTGAAAGGCCAAAGACGTTGCAATTGATGTCGAGTGCCATTCCTGGTCAGATCACCTGGCTCGGAGCCACCAGGTAGACAAAGCAAATGACGTCTAGGAAAGGTGGGGTGGCACATATTTTAGTCCTGTCGGGCATGTGCCCTGCATGAACGTGTGAATTAAAATCCGTATGTAAAGCTTAACTACAGTAGACCTCTTATGGCGCATTTCCACTACAACGCGCCTCGCAGGTATGGGCTAGCCTCGTTGGGACTGGTATTCTGGGCATTTCATTGTTTTACTTGGGGTGTTTGTGCGCAGTGTAGGCGGAGCCGTGACGTCATCTTCAATGAGCGCCCCAGAAAAACAACACAGCCGTTAGCTGTTAGCCCTCAGAGCTCACAGCTCCTCATATCTGTTCAGAAACTAGACAAAAGTTAAACAAGTACAAACCACAGACTGTCTGTGTCATGCAGAATACAGTCGCTGGTTTATTTATGTCTGTATAGGCCGTTGTTGTGAGTGTGGACGGTCGGAGCATTTACAACGTTAGCTTAGCCAATCTCCATTTAGAAAACACGCATTTTAAAAGGTTTTTCGCCTGCCGTCTGTCTGCAGACTTGTCAAAGCATTAATTCATGGTTTTTACTAACCGCAAATCAGTATGTTGTTACTTCGGCATCATTTTGAAACGTGTATTACAATTAAATCACGGTCAAATATGTTCATCTTGTTGTAGTTGTAGCCCCCTTGCCAGCGATTCTCTCTCTAGTTAGCATATTCAGCCCGACTCAGCCTGGTTGTTCCTGGCCATAGAACCACGATTTTATGGGGCCAGAAAAATTGTGAATTAGGACCCGCTAGCCGGTACTAGGCCAAGTGGAAACGCAACGAAAAACGGGCCCCGCACGGCTCGGCACGCTTAAAGCGAGCTCCGCGCTGCAGAGGAAACGCGCCCCCTTAGAAAGTCTAAAAAAGTGAACTTAACATGTATTCT